AGAGAGAGAGAGAGAGAGAGAGAGAGAGAGAGAGAGAGAGAGAGAGATGGGATTAAATTAGATGAAATTAGATGATCTTCACCATCCCTCTGCACTCTGATTCCAGACCTCTCTATGTCCCTTTGTAAGGGCAGGGGAATAGGAAAAAGATTGGCATGAAGGATGAAAGGATGGGGAACCATCTAGGGGGCAGTGGAAGACCTCTTCTGGATGTTTGGGCTGCCACTGACCTTATACCCTCTGTTTTTGCCATCCAGGGCCTGGCCTGGCATTTGTGGTCTACCCCCAGGCCATGACGATGCTCCCCCTGTCACCATTCTGGTCTTTTCTCTTCTTTTTCATGCTGCTGACCCTAGGCCTGGATAGTCAGGTAAGCATGCTCAGTAGGGGGACTGGAATAGTAGAATGTCCTGATTTCCCCCTACCCCCCATTTCACTGACAGACTTTATACTACACTCCCTCTGTCCCTAGTTTGCCTTCCTAGAAACCATCGTGACAGCTTTGACGGATGAATTCCCTTACTACCTTCGACCCAAGAAGGCCATCTTCTCTGGCACCACCTGTGTGGCCATGTTTCTGATGGGCCTCATCCTCACCACAGATGTGAGCTTCTGGAATGAAATGGGCAGTGAGAGGGACTGTCCCCCGTCACACATCTCTCCCCTCCCATAAGTCTCCACTTCAACCCTGAGACAATCTATAGTGGTCAGCTGCTGTTGCTGAAGCCTACAGTAGCCTGACCCAGACAATTGGGCAATGTCTAATTTCAATTATAAACCTGTTTTCCTTCTTTGGAAGGGGGGAAGGGTCCCATCTTCATCCCCTATTCCCATACCCCATATCACTCCCCTACCCTGGACTGCCTGCTTCCTCCCTACATCCTCTAGGGAAGAGAGCTCCCCAGGTGAGGATTCCCCAGAAAGGACAAGGTCCATGGCCCTTGGCTTGTGTTCTAGGGAGGCATGTACTGGCTGGTCCTGCTGGATGACTACAGTGCTGGCTTTGGGCTCATGGTGGTGGTGATCACAACCTGCCTCACGGTTACCCGTGTATATGGTAAGGAAGGCCTAGTCCTCAGTGAAGTGGAGGATAGGCCAGGTCAGGAATGTCCATGGGATGTAAACCCCCCTACCCCACCCCCGAGGAAGAAGGCAGGTGATAGAACCACTTTGAGGTGTGACAGGGGATGTCTGAGGCCCAGATTCCAGAATTCCTAAGTCACCTTATGTCCTTTTGTCAGTTTCTGAAAGGGGTTAGGAGATGAATGGTAATGACCAAGGAAAAGGAAGGATTATGAGTATAGATGTGGATGTGATATTGGGATGGCTGGAGAGAAGCTGGATCAGTTCAAGAATTAGGAGACACAAATTCCCCTTGCTGGATCCTAGAAAATTCAGTTGACTAAAAGAGCTTGGGAACCAATGAACTGTGGGTGGGCAGTCTGAGTGCCAGAGTTACCTCCTTTCAGGGAAGTATAAGAGGTTCCCCTCTGTGAGTAAGACTCTGGAGAGGCCCAGAGAAAAGGATTGGAGACTTAAAAGGATGTAACTATTCCCCACTTGTTCTGACCCCAGGCATCCAAATCCCATGGCTTACAGCCACTACCTGTTATGTGCTTAACATACCATCTTAGACCCTGAGGGAAGATAAGAAAAGAGAAAGAGAGAGAGAGAAATAGAGGACCTGCTTACAGGCTAAAAGAAGTTTATAATCCACTTAGGAAGACAGAACACAGGCAGACTCAACAGAACTGTACCAAAGTATGGTCATAGAGCAGAAGTACAAACAGAAGTGATAAAAGCAAAAGAAAGAGAGAGAGAGGGAGGGAGGGAGGGAGAGAGACAGAGAGAGAGAGAGCTGGGAAGGAGAGAAGAAAGGAGGGAGGGAGGGAAGGAAAGGAAGAAAGGAAAGAAAGAAAAAGAAAGAAGGGAAGGAGGGAAGGAAGGAGGGAAGAAAGAAAGAAGGAAGGAAAGAAAGAAAGAATCCCCCAAACTACACAGAGCTGTGTCTAACTTCCTTTTTTCTCCCATAGCACAGAGCATTTAATAAAAACTTGTTGTTTGAATTGAATTGAATCATGTAAGTGATGTGAGCCAGGGCAGTATAAGATTTAGGTGGTGCCTGCACAAGGAAGGCAGTGGAGCTCAACATCAGGGGCAGAAGGAACTGTGTACCAGGAAGTTCCACGAGCCTTCACTTTGGCAGCTGTAATTAGACAGTGTGCTTAGGGTGGAGAGAATCTGAGGGAGTTGTTAGCTATCCAAGCTTATCAGAAAGCGGACTACCTCTATCCCCTAGCCTTGCCCCTTTTACACCAGTCTGCAGTCAAGGAGTATGGGTGTGTGCATTTATCCAATTAGAGTCCACCCACAGAGAAACTCCACCTTCCTCCCTTCTCTGAGTTTCAGTGGAATTCAATCAACTGGGGCATGACATAATGGAGTTGACCACGTAAATAAGGCATAACTATATAGTTATTTACTCACAAGTAAAGACACAAAAGAAATAAAATTAATTATATGGAAAAGGTCACCAAGCAGGCTGGGTGCCCTAGCTCCTCCCAGACCTTTTGGGGTCTATAGACAAGCCGATTTTATCATTTAAAGAGAACATTTGGGTGCTCAAATTTAAGTTTTCAGAGGGCAGCTCAGTTGCTCAATGGATAGAGTGCCAGGCCTGGGGTCAGGAACGCTCATCTTCCTGAGTTTAAATCCAGCCTCAGACACTTGCTGTGTTACCCTGGGCAAGTCACTTCACCATGTTTGCCTCAGTTTCCTCACCTATAAAATGAGCTGGAGAAGAAAATGTCAAACCACTCCAGTATCTTTGCCAAGAAAACCCCAAATGAGATCACGAAGAGTCAGACAAGATTGAAACGACTGAACAACAACCTTGTCTTCAGTCAATACCTAAAGAAACCCCAGAAATTAAATTCAGCTGCTTAGATTCAAACCTCTTTGGGGACAGCTCAAATCTCTCTACTGATCTGCTATGTGACCATAGCACTGTAATCACAGGCAAATCACTTAACCCCTCTAGCCTTTCTTTAGGTATTTTCTCCTTTGGTAAAATGGAGAGGGTTGAGCTCTTACAGCTCAGAATCTGTGGACCAATTGATTCCTTGACCCAGGGCGATCCCAACCCTGCAACTGGCCACTTTGAGGAGGCAGGAAGATAGGGGAAGAACTGTCCAGGTGGTGAGATCCCTGGTTTCTATTTCCCATCTTTCTGATGCTAGAACAAGAGTTGGCACCCCTCCTTCTCCTTTGTACATCAGTATCCCTGTCCTACCCTAACCCCCCATTACTGCTTGGGATAAGGTATATTTGGCTGAGGTTTGATACCTCCAAGATTGTCACTGAGTGGCCAGAAAGAACTCTCTAACCCTTCCAGAACCACCCCTCCCCCATCCAATCGATATTCCTCTTCCCTTTTAGGTATCCAAAGGTTTTGTCGGGACATTCACATGATGCTGGGCTTCAAACCTGGTCTGTATTTTAAGGCCTGTTGGATGTTCCTGTCTCCAGCCACCCTGATGGTAACTGGGAGACTAGGAATCAGGTTCCATGGGAAGAAAGGGAGACATATGGGCTATCCTGGGTCCCTTTTCTCCTTTAACAGGAGGTAGTCCAAGGACAGATGCATCTTTCAGGCAGATAGTCTAGTAATGACTTCCTTTCCCATGAATGAGGGTTGAAGGAGGGTAATCTCGTGGTGGTGCTTCCAGATCAGTCAGGCCCCGGTTCCCCAACCCCTATATCTTTCCCAGTCCCACATGGACTCCAGGCCTGTGCCTAGACTGAGTCAGTACTAGATGCTTGCTCCAGGGTTGGGCTGGGTTATCTTGGGACCAGAATGGTAACTGCTAGGGTGGCTACCCCACAGGCGCTGCTGGTGTACAGCATTGTGAAATATCAACCCTCGGAATATGGCACTTACCGGTTCCCATACTGGGCCGAGCTCCTGGGCATCCTGATGGGCCTCCTGTCTTGCATAGTGATTCCTGCTTGCATGCTAGCGGCTGTGCTCAAGGAAGAGGGGACACTGTGGGAGGTAAGTGCCTGCCTGGTCGACCTTGAGCTCAACCCCAACCCTATGTCTCCTATCCCCATTCCCATTGTGGGGTAGTGGAAAGAGCATCGAATTTGGAGTCCAAGGACTTGGGTTTAAATCCCAGCTCTCTGAAATGTTGGGCATGTTTATGAAAGAGTCACCGAGGCCATTGCTAACTTCTCTTCCAGCACTCAGCGATCCAAGGACATTTTTCTTCCTAAAGATAGAACCCCACCAGAGAGAAGGACACAGGTCACATGACCTCTTGGCCACTTGGCTAAAGGATGGAACCCAGCCTAGGCTCAGATGAAATCCAAGGTTGAAGGGATAGAGGATGGCATTGAAGAGACTGGGAGGGATCTTCTTTTCCATGAGGCATGTGGCTTCTCCTCTGCTTAGCAAAGTTTCACATAATGATAAAGTTGAAAAGGATCTTAGAGATATTTGATCCAAATCCTTCTTCCTACTGGACCACTTAATACCCATGTGACTTTAGTTAAGTCATTTAAACTCTCTGGGCCTCAGTTTACTCATCTGTAAAATGATGGGGTTGGACAAGATGGCCTCTTAAGTTCTTTCCAGATCTTGATCTGTTATCCTGTGTGATCCCGTCTTTGTATATCTCTCTGAGTTCCTCTTATTCATCATTTTTTAGAGTTCAATCATATATCATGGCATCCATATACCACAGATTGTTCAACTGTTTTCCAGTTGATGGACATTCATTTTGTTTCTAGCTTCTTACTATTACAAAGAAGACTACCATGAATATTTTGTTACATGTAAAACTTTTCTTTTAGTCATTAAACTTTGTTAAGCATATACCCCGTAACAGAATTGTCAGATCAAGGGATATGAGCAATTTGTTGACTGTTTCCCTTTAATTTCAAATTGCTTTGCATAAAGGTTGTACCAACTTGCAGTCCCACCAATAATGTAATTCTGTGCTAGTGGATCAAGTGATGTACTTGGAGACAGGTGAAACTGAGTTCAAATATTGCTTCAGTCATTTACCAGCTATGTTACTCAAGGCAACTCACTTAACTTCTCTTGACCTCAGTTTTCTTATCTGTAAAATGGAGAAAATAATAGCATTTACTTCTCAGGTTTGTTGTGAGGATCAAATGAGATAACATATATAAAGTGCTTCTCAAATTTTAAAGCACTGTGTGATTGCTATTATTGTCTTTCTCCAACACTTCCAAAATTAACTACTTACATTTTTATCATCTTTGCCAATTTAATGAATGTGGTGTGAAACCTCAGAATTTTTAAAATTTCCATTTCTTTTATTATTAGTAATTTGGAACTTTAAAAAATATGTTATAAGCATTTGCATATCCTCTGGGACACTTGGCTCTGTCAACAGAATACCAGGCTTGAAATTTCACAGATGATGTTTACTACCTAGGTGTCCCTGGACAAGGCATTAAACCTCTGGACTATTTCTTCCAAATCTATGGATGTGTTTTTATTATTTATCCCTTGACTACTTACCTCTTAGAGAATGATTCCTAGTCTGATTTGTTCCTGTATATCTTGCACAATGGACTTTTATCAGAGATATTTGGTTCAAAGATTTTTATCTGTCTTTCTTCCTATTCTCTGTGGATTGACTTTGTTCATGAAAAAAAAAAGCTTTTTAATTTTGTGCAGTTGAAATTCTCTTTTATCTTTTATGCTCACCTGTATCATTTAAACTCTCTGGGCCTCAGTTTGACAACTGATTTTTTGGCAATTCCTTCTTGACCATATATTTGATATGGACCACCTATAATGTATTCTTTTATATTTAGGTCACATATCCACTTAGAGCTCATGGTGGTGTAGAGTATGAGGTGCTGGTCTGAACCCATTTTCTGTCAAACTGCTTTCCAGTTTTCTCCTCAGCTTTTGTTGAAGAGGGAGTCCTTTCCCCAGTGGGGTCTGTTCTTGGATTTATGAAGTACTAGACTTCCATTATTCTTTCCACTTCTTCAACTTTTACCTTTCTCCTTGCTAGCCTGTAATAAGACCATTGCATATTAAGAAAGGGTGCTAGCCTCCTTGAACTAGGACTCAGAAGTGTAGGCTCTGCTAGTGTTTCATTTTGTGATCTTGGTCTTTTGTCTGCTGTATGCTTAGGTTTCCTCATCTGTAAAATGAGTAATCTGTAAAATCTGTTAAAAAAAAAAAAAAAAGCCAAAGTTCTTTTCTGCTCCATGCTTCCACGACCTCTCCTAGGGGTGAGCTTTGTGTGTTTAGGGTGCCCTCTGGTGGGTACATCCTGATTCTGCCACCATTACTGGTGAGAGTTCTAGCCAAGACCCATTCACTTTCCCAGCCAAGTTTTAGAATCCCGGAACTTTGGAAGTGAAAGGAACTTTGTTCTGACTCCTTCAAGTTACAGATGAACAAGGCCCAAAGAATCAAATGACTTGTTTAAGGTCATACAGCTAGTGGCATGGTTGAACTGCTTGCCAGATGGTGTCTACTCACTACATTCAAAGAACAGGGTTGGGGAGTCTTGGGGTGAGGCCCCTAGGCTAGCCCATACTCTCTTGAGCTATGAGGATGGCTTTGGTGGCCAAAAACCACCAAGGCGTTCTGGTGCCCTGTTTGTCTTATTAGGGACAGGAGGATGATTAGACCAAGGGAAGGAACCTTATGTGAAGACCATGCTAGTCATAGGATCATAGATTTAGAAATGGAAGGGATCTTCAAGATCACCTAATTCAATCCTCAATCTTACAGATGAGGAAACTGAGCCCTGGAAAAATAAAATGACTTACTCAAAGTCACTTATGTCGCAGCTGTGCCTTAATTTGAACCTGAGTCCTCTGACTCCAAATTCAGCATTCTTTTCACTGTAAGACATTGTCTTCTAGGCTTGTAAGTTTGTCCATTGTCTGGAATCCATCCAAATGGCCCAACCCTGTCCACTAAAAGTTGTGGGGTCAGCAAATGACTAAGCTTTCAGGTCAGCAGCTGCCTTAGCCCAAGGTTTGGTTCAAGAGACCTGGGTTCAAAATGTGTCTCTGGCATTACCTGTATTGCTTTGGCCAACTCAAACAGGAAAGGAGCCCTTCCCTAGATCTGTATCATCTACAAAATAAAGGTTTGAAACTAAATGATCTAAGGGCCCTTTGATCTCTAGTAAGGCAGCTAGGTGGCACAGTGTGGTTGAAATGCTGGACCTGAAGCCAGGATGATCAGAGTTCAAATCCTGCCTCAAGCTGTGTGACCCAGGAAAGTCATTTAACCTCTCTCAGCCTCAGTTTCCTCATCTGTAAAATGGGGCTAATAATAGCACCTACCTCACAGAGTTATTGTGAAGATAAAATGAAAGAACATTTGTAATGTGCTTTGAAAACCTTAAAGTGGTATATAAATGCTAGCTATTATTATTCTTTGACTCTGAGGGTGAGGGCCCTTTTTTAAATTTAATTTTATTGTTTTCAATGAACAAAAATTCATTTTCTCTCCCTCCCATCTATCCCCCACTGGGGAAAAAAAAAACAAAAAGAAAAAAATTAAACCCTTGTAATAAACATGCTTACTCAAGCAAAACATTCTCACATGGACCATGTTCAAAAAAACCTGTCTCATTCTGCATGGTCAGGGTTCTTCAGAGGAGTGGGCACCATGAGGGATTCCTCCTGCTTGGCTCATGAATCACATACAGCAGTCCGTGGCAAGGAGGGTGTAAATGGAGACTAGAAAGGAGAGTGAGGCCTGGACTGAGTCCTGTTAGGCACCCCTAGATCTCTTAAGAAGGAAGAGTCTATAAGGGTAGGACAGGTTCTCAGCCTTGGCTTGTGGGAGGAGGGATGTAAGTGAAGGGCTGTCAGTCATTGCCAAAGGCTGCTGCGGTTGGAGGTGGGACCCATATTTTCATCAGTTTCCCAAGCAGGAGCCAAAGGAAGAGATGCCTGAGCCCCTGGATTCCATCCTAGGGATTATCATCTTGGGGTGAAACCGGATGGCTGAGGAGAGAGAAGGTATTTCCCCTCCCTCTATCTCTGGATAGTTGAGAAAGAAGTCAAATGACCCCTCTTCTTCTTCCTCTATTTCCAGAGGATCCAGCAAGCCAGCCGTCCAGCCATGGACTGGGGTCCTTCTCTGGAGGAGAACAGGACAGGCATGTATGTGGCTACCCTGGCAGGCAGCCAGTCCCCCAAGCCTCTGATGGTCCATATGAGGAAATATGGTGGCATTACCAGCTTCGAGAACACAGCCATCGAGGTGGACCGGGAGATTGAAGAAGAAGAGTCCATGATGTGAGGGATGGGGAGCGGGCCCCTGGGACTGAGGATTGCTGAGGGCAGTACTACGGCCCCATGGGCCTTCCCCCCTGAGCAGGGTAGTACTGTGAGTCTGAAACTTCTCTCCCAGGGCCTGGAGGCTGTTTGAGGATGTGTTCCTGTAGGTCCCTGGGACTTAATGGGGCAGGCTGAGGTGGTCTTTTCTGTCTTAGGTGCGGTCAGAAATCAGGCCCTGTCCTGCTGGAATTGTTTTCCATCCTCACTGTCCACACGTCTCCTTTAGGACCAGGTCACCAACAAAACAGCCATTCCTGACTCCTCGCATTCCCTCATCTGGACTCTCCTCATATACCTACGCTGTGGCACAGAAAACTGCACCAAACCCATGCAGCAGTGGGGAATGTCTCCATTGTGACCTGGGAGGCAGGGCAGGGGAGCCCATCAAGATATTTGGAGCAAGGGTTTAGTGCAGACACCGACCTGCTGGCAGCTTGGGTCATCCGCCTAGATCTTTTCAGGGCCTGAGGCTGAAGGATCTAAGGGGATCTTGCTTGTTTCCTAGTGAACTGGACCCCAGCTGTTCCGTTCACTGAACATTTCCTGTAGGCCCAGCCTTGTGCTAGATTGTGGGGAATAAAGGAGAATACAGGACATGGTCCCTGTCCCCAAAAGCTTACAGTAAAGCTGCAGAAATAAGGCAGCAAGGACACACAAAAATATGCCAGATTTTTATAGTCAGTGCAATAGAAATTCAGAGGTGGGAGAGATGGCAATGAATCTGAAGGGTTTAGGGGAACTTCCTGGAGGATGCAGGGATTGCGATAGACCCGTAAGGGTAAGTAGGATTTGGATCGGGGTTGGCAGCATCTGCTAGCAGAAGAAACAACCTGAGCCAAAGTTTAGGATAAGGATGAAACCGGCCTGGCTAGAACAGAAGGGGAAGATGAACTGAAACGGAGGACAGAGGGGTGCAAGCAAATGGGAGAGAACCTGAAATGCTAAGAGCAGGCAATAGGGAGCCATTGAAAATGTGGCGAGCAGGGCATTAGGAAGTTGATGTCCCTGTGTATAAGTTGAATTGGGTGGAGGAAGTCAAATGCCAGCAGGGAGAAGAAGGAAAAGGAAAAGCAGAATCAGAGAAGTAAGCTATGGCAGGAGGGGTCCCCAGCAGTGATGCTGCCTGGGATCCAGACCAGAGGAGTCTGACATGAAAGGTCCATATGTGGCTTCACGCCTGAGTTGTCAAGGAGACAACAGGGGGCTCGTTATTGATCCCCATAGCAACTGCTGCAGACCTTCTCTTCTCTTCCAACTCCCCTTCCCCCTCCCACACTTAGAGCAGATGATTTAGCCTCCTACTTCCCTGAGAAGACTGAGGCCCTCTGACAGGCACTCTCCTTCCAAGTTCCCCTGTTCTCCCTTCCTTCCCACCACAAAGAAACAAGTATCCCTAATTTCCTAGGGATGCTAATCCTATGGCCCTCTCCTCCTGCCTCCTCCGGGCCCCTCCTTAGCAATCACTCATTGTTCTTCAGGCGTCTTCAATCTTTCATTGGCCTCTTTCCAAGACCCTACAAACATTCTCCAAGCTCCCTGAAACTCAGAGAGTCTTGCAGCCCTTCCACCCCTTCTGACTATGGTCCCTTCTCTCCCCTTCCCTTCCTTGCCAAATTTATTGAAGCCATATGCATGGCTCCCATTCCTAACCACCCACTCTTTTCTCTACCCTCTGCAATCTGGCTTGTGTCAGTGACCCCCAAGTCACTGAATCAAATGGTCTTTTTCATTCCTCCTTGTCTTTGACCTCCCAAAAGGGTGTGGCACTTACGATCCCTCCTCCTTTGGTTCCCAGGACATCGCACTATCCCGGCTCTCCCACCTCTCTCCTGCTTTTGTCTCTGTGGAGTACTGCCCTCTTCCCAAGGTCCTAAAGATGGATGCTCCCCAAGGTCCTCTCCTTAGCCTTCTCCTCTCCTCTCTTCTCTCCATATTCTTCTCCTTTGCTGATCTCATCTCTCCTGTGGCTTCAGTGATCACCTCCACACCTAGGACCTGAGAGTCTACGTCCTCTGCCCTGCCTCCCACTCTGTGCTTCAGACCCACCTCTTCTCTCTGGATGGGTAGAATCTATCTCCGTGTCCCAGCGGCACTTCAAATTCAACTTGGACAAACTCGAACTTCTATGCCCTCACCCTCTCCACACCCACACCCCAACCAGACTTCTTCTCTTCCTCCTAACTTCATTATTTTGGTCGCTAAGTTCACTGGACCTGAAAAGAATTGTCCTCTTCTGCTTTGAGCAGGCAGCTCTCCGTTGGTCACCGTGGAGATGGGGGAAGAAGACATTGGAGTTTGCTTTGCCTCAGTTGAGTCCTTGTCTCCCATGTCCCTAACCTCAGGGCTATTTTTCCCTCTCCCTTCTCCTATCGCATTCCCCAAAGTTACAAAGTCCTTTTCAATCCTACCTCTGCAATATCTTTTGCCTCAGTCATCTCTTCTCTCTTCCACTCCCACCATCACAATACAGGCCCTCTTTTCCATCCACCTGGACTACTGCAATAGCTTCTTCCCACTTCCACTGTGTCCCCCTCTCAGCCCCTCCTTCACACCCTTCCCAGATGTCTTGGGCATAAATCAAATTATGTCACCTCTCTGCTAAACATTTCTACCCAGTAGAAGTCTGACTGGGGACAGCTAGGTGGCATAGTGGACAGAGCACCGGACCTGGAGTCAGGAGGAACTGAGTTCAAATCTGGTCTCAGGCACTTACTAGCTGTGTGACCCTGGGCAAGTCACTTAACCCTGATTGCCTCAGTTTTCTCATCTGTAAAATGAACTGGAGAAGGAAATAGCAAACCACTCCAGTAGCTTTGCCAAGAAAACCCCAAATGGGGTCATGAAGAGTCAGACATGACTGAAATGACTAAACAACAACAAAGAATTCCAATTCCTTTGCCTGACCTAGAAAACTTCCCTCACCCAGAACCTGACACACCATACTTACTGCACCTTTCCAGCCTCCTCATATTGGACTGTTCACTACTCTCCAAACATGCTGCGCTTTCCTGTCTCCATGCCTTTCCTCACAGATGGCAGCTGAGAGAAGAACTTGGTCCCTTCCCCAACCATGGGGAAGGCCAAATGGGCCTTTTCCCTGGAGCAGGATGAAGCTATGGATTTGAAAACACTGTCCAGAAGCCTGACAACTGGGTGTAGAAGACCCATCTGTTGAATTTCTAATCACTCATGAAGTCTCCTCCTCCAAGAAGCCTTCTCTAATGCCCTCATTTCTCTTCCTGGCCCCTCACATAGAGAGCATTTTGTACTTTTCTGATGCACTTCTGTAGTACTTTACATAACTATTTGTCTATGGGCTCCATGCCAGACTTGTGTCTCTCATCTGAGGACCAGCCCAGCTAACTATTAAAGGCTCATGCCTGACAAGGCATGGAGGGTCTGTGATGTGTTGATGTATAGAGGACCAATATTAAGGAAATCTCAGCATTTGGAGTAACAGTATAGTTCTTTGAGCACGTCTTATATCCTTCTGCTGGACTGTAAGCTTTACAAGGATGGGGGCCATGTTTTCTTGTATCCCACTCAGCACCTAGTACAGAACACTGTACATAGTTGGTGCTTAATAAATGTTTCTAGAGTTGGGCCAGCTTAGATGACATCCAATCCCCCACAACAGCAGTTCAATCCTGGGCCTCTCTTCTATATACTACTTACCCAGCCACAGGCCCCAAGCAACCATGTAATCAATGATGCCAAGGGTCTGCCCCTCCTTCCTCATCTCTGTGGCCAAAAAAACCCAGAAACCAGACAGGAACTCCCTGACCAGAGAGTTGTCCATGCTTGGTGGGGGAGGGTGGTTGCCCAAGTCAGCAGCATGAATGAGAATAACCTTATAGGAAGAACTACTACCAGTCCCACCCCAGGGCACCCATGGGAGATGCTCCCTTGCCTATCAAAGGGCATTCTGGCAGAGACTTTGCCTGGCTCAGGGCCTCTGCCCCACCTTAGTGTCCCAATCTCCTTGAGGTAGAAATATTGAGGGTACTAAATAGAGAGAAGAAATGCAGAACCCAGTGTTCTTATCCCAGTACCTTGGGCATTTCTCATTCTGTCTAGGGAGGGGGATCTATCCAAGTAGTATCTGTGCCCCTTGAACTGTCGGGACCTGGTAAGAGGGTGCACGTATCTGTGAGGCAGCTTGTCTTCTGCAAGTAGTATTATACAAGGGGTGCAGGGCACTCTCTCTTAAGGTGTAGTTGAACAGTGCAGTCGTGGTCTTCTGTGAATCATTTCCCTTCTCCTGATGTGTTCTGTTCTCTTGACTGTCCGTGTTCTGTTACTTCAGTGTTAATAAACACTCAGTGAGCAACCTTCCAGACATCTTTTCCTTGTGTACCTAATTTCTAGGATAACCTTTCCCAACCCTTTTCTAATGTGGCTCTCAGGAGAGGCCAGAGAGGGTAGTAAAGACATAAGACCATAGAGGTTAGAAATGGAAGAGGCTTCGGAAGAGAGAATGTCAGAGCTAGACTAAGACATCTTAGAGACCATCTGATCTATTCTACTTATTTGACAGATGAGGAAATGAAAACCCAGAAAAGGCAAGTGAATTGCTCAAAGATGGACGCAACTTAGTGGTAGATCTGGAACCAGAAATCAGATTTCTTTCCTTTAAATCCAGTGCCCTTTCTATTATGCTACAAGAAGAACTATTTCCATTATAGAGATAAACAGAAATCTCCTCTGATGCCCTTGGCCAATGTCATGAGCTTAGGTCAATAAACATACCTTCTCAGATAGACAGAATTCCACTTCAGAGGGCTTTTGGTGTCCCTAATATCCCAAGGGGCAGGTAAGTGACTCAGTGGATAGAACACCAGGCCTGGGGTCAGAAAGACTCATCTCCTTGAATTCAAATCTGGCCTCAGACACTTACTAGCTGTATGACCCTGGGCAAGCCATCTAATAATGTTTACCTCAGTTTCCCCATCTGTAAAATGA